ACCCCGGAAATAATGTGCTGGTTCTTCCTGACGGTAAGTGTCACCGGAAAACACTGCTTCCTCATTCGCTTGGTGCTTTCAGCTTTCTTTTGATGTGTCTGGCCTACTCTCTGTCCATGAGCTCATTACTGACGACTGTTTGCTCTCTGTTCTATTTTTTGTTCGTTATTAGGTGTTTCCTGTTTAATTGTGCATCTCTCTGTTGTTTAGTTAAGTTACATCTATTATGCTGATGTCATTTGTGTGTTTATAAAATCTTTCAATAATATATATATATTTTTTTGTTCTTTATCTGCCTCTCTTTGTGTCTGCCTTTCCTTTTTTTCACTGTCTCTCTTGTCTCTGTCTGTTTGTTCGTCCGTCTTTCTGCCTGCCTGTGTCTCTGTCCGTCTCTCTCTCTCTCTCTCTCTTTCTGCTTTTCTCTCCCCCCCCCCTCTCTCTCTCTTTTCTCCTTTACTCTCCCCCCTCTCTATCTCTCTCTCGCATCCCCCCCCCTCTCTCTCTCACTCTCGCTCTATGTCTGTCTGTCATCTCTGACTGCCCCCCCCCCCCCTTTCTCTCTTTCTCCATTTGCGTGTCTGTTTGACTATCGCCCTCTCTCTCTTTCTGTTTGTCTCCCCCCTCCTCTCTTACTCTGTCCGTCCGTCATCTTGTCTGTTTGTAAATCTGTCTGTCTGTCTGCCTCTTTCTGTCTATCTCTCTCGACCTCTCTCCTTCTTTCTTAATTTGTCCTTCTGTTCTTCTTTTTGTCTGTATCTTTTATTTCGTTCTCTCTCTTTCTTTTACTATCCCTTTCTATCTATCTGCTTCTCACTCTCACTCTCTCTCCCCCCCCCCTTCGCTCTCTCACACCTCATTCTGTCCGCCTCGTTATGGACGATTTTTTTTTTTTTTTTATTCACTGGCACAAGTTTATTTAGTTTGTCATTTGGATGCTATCACAGAACGTGACTATATTACTAAGTGTATTGCCAACGTAATCTCATTCATCAAGTACATCCCCGAAAACATCATTCTTTTTTTTCGCCGTCAATGAATGCAAACTCTATATAAACGCGAATGCAATAAACACAGACCGTGAGTCGAAGGGGGGAGGGGGGGGGGAGAAAAAGATGGAGGCCGGGCATTCAGCTTCAGGCTCCAGCGCGAGAAGTGTGAGAAACGAGGAAGCCGCAGAAGAGTTATTCTTGCTAATGTAGCCGACCCTTTGTGCCAACAGGTGGCGTCTTTCCAGCGGGGTCGTCCGTTGGATCAGGCCGACTCAGGGCGGCGGTTGGAGGGATCAGGGCAAGTTTTCAAAAGGAATTCGCAAACAGAATGAGCTCCACAGATTACGTCAGAGGCGAGGCGAGGGGTATCGTCTCATTTAGGCTGCTTGTATTTGGGCCACGAGGGCTGACGCAGGCTCCAGCGAGGTCGGGTGTGCGGTGGCTGGTTACAAGAGGGCTTTGTACTTAATCTCACTAGTAGTAAAAAGGCACCTAAATTGTAGTTCAAGTGAAGAGGATGGTCTTTTATCAGCAGAGGGAAGTCAGGATTTCTTTTTAGATGTTTCCTTTTACAGAATGTTATTCTATCATCATAGAATATTCACCGTTTGCATCCCCGTTAGTACCATAAATAAATTCATATATGCAAAACAAAAGCTGAACCCATCAGACCTGATAATAATTCCTAGTTTCTTTGCTCTCCCGTGAAGTCTTCTATCTTTTTATACCTGGACACGTATAGCGCCTCCACAGAGAGATCGGAAAGAAACAAAGGGATAAAGAACAGACCAGGAAGAAAGATGAGACGGACTTTAAAAGCTTTTCCATGCAAATCAAGAGTAGGGACAAGCAGTCTCCATGAAATTCACAGGTGTGCCGCCGGCTGCTTTATACACCTGATTTAACACGGACGAATATTTACGAACGGCCATTTATCACTTGTAATTACCGGAGATGGGATTACGAGACTAATTATTCCGGACAGATTGATTAAATGCCATAATCACCAAATCTCTTATCACATCCCTTTGATTGATAGTTCGTGTGTACTGACTCATCACCACAGATTATGTAAACAGTAGGCAGAGCGATATTCAACATGCAGAGACTTACAAACGAAGTTATAGTGCTACTAAAGAACATCAAACAACGGAAGAAATTCCTCGAAATGAAAATCAGAACGAACAATTAGTCATCCCTAATTAACTCATTCCATGCGTGAAGAAAAGAACGTTCAGGCGGAGTGGCGCGGATGAGCTGTTGTGCGAATAAGGTCTTGCGGATCCGGGTCACGTGTTCACGCCGGTTGTGCGAATAAGAGATGGAGGCGTTGCAGACGATACTGGCGAGGGTCATGGTGAGAGTAGCATTTATTTCTTTTTATCTTACTTCATCTATTATTAGCTTTAGTATTATTATCGTTATCATTAAAATCCTCATTATCATTATAATTATCAACTTCATTATCATTTTCATACTAATGATTATGATAATAATATTGATAATGGAAG